ACTTTCTGGAAACCACTGGACTCTTAATTAAAGGGCCGGAGATCTTTAGATTCCCACATAATGAAGGTTTAATAATTGTCATGCATTCTGCCACCAGCACAATGTGGCCTGTAACTTCCTGCACTTGCAATTTTTTTTTTTTCAAATATACCCAACAATTTCCGTTTCAGACTCTGCTTATATAAAAAAGGTTGCTGGAAACTGTATAGCAAAGCCAGCTTTTTTTTTTTTTCTGTCTTGAAGAGTAACCTAATAAAACTGTTAAAATGTCTCAGGATGTCTAAGCTGTATTTTTTTAGTCATTTGCAGATAAGGAGAGATTCTGTAGCCCCAAGAAACGGAATAAATACTGGACACCTTCATTAACCTGCTAAATTTCAGGAAGAGATAATGGTCTCTAAAAGAGGCATACGGTTGGTTATCAAGCCTGGGGACACGTTCATAATGACATATTGAGAGTGATTGGCGGGCGGGGGGTGGGGGGTAGGTTTTGCTGCTGTTCATTCCAAGCCTCATGGAGCTCGAGTTTATTCATTTGTCCAGACATCTGATATATATGCTGACATGTTCTGGGAGGCCATAGTAAGAACAAATGATAACAATAGCAGTAACAAAGGGGACCCAGCACCTGTCTATGTAGTGTTCATGGTCTAACGTGTGACAAAAGCTAAAGGGCCACATAAATATGTGTGAGATGACAACTGTGGTAAGTACTTTGAAGGATGGTCACTTGGTGCTATGAGAGTGGGTAACCGTGGGAGTTGACCACTCTAGGAAGGACTAGGGAAGCTTCTGGAAGAAGCTGACAATGAAACTTTCCTGAGCCAAGGATTATCCTTTAGTCCTACCAATGTTTCAGGGCTCATCTCTCCTTCTTTTGAATCTGTCCTCTGATTCTCACACCAGGTAAGTAGGGCAGAGATGACGATGCCCATGTCACAGATGGGGACAATCAAGCACAGGAAGGACGAGAGAAGACAGCCGGATGGAGCCCAGTTTCTGGTCTTGCCTGTTGTATCACACCAGCCTTGAGAGAAGATGGTGTCTGTTTTTGTTTACTTGTTTCTGCTGTATGTTTTACATATTAAGTCTGATCAGAGTTAGCTGCCACCGGCTTCTCCGAAACTCTGAGTCACCAGAATAAACGATTTTCAGCTGCTCCTGTCAGCCGGCCCCCTCAAATCTCCACTCTTGGGTCTGTGAGTGAAGCTTGCCCCCAGCTCTGCTGTCCCTCCTGCCCTGCTTCTCCGCGTCTGCTGGAAAGCTTCTGCAGGTGAGGCCTGGGGACCCCCACCCCCACCCCCGGGGCTGGTCCTCTGCCTTTGGGCAGCTCCACAATTTAGTGAGATTACGTTTAGTGTCTTTTGCCTGGTCACCTCTCTCTCTGCCAGAGCAAGACTTTGTGCACATGAAGGGCCAGGACAGGCCAGTTTAGAAGGGCATGCCGTTTCTGAGGGGCTCCTTTGCCAAATTCCTGCGGGGGGGAGGGAGGAGAATTTGGGACACTGTGAAACTCAGTGACCTGGAACAGGGCACCTAAAATCAGCTTGAGGACCTGCTGACACCTGATTGTTTGTGATGAAATCTCATACTCCCCGCCTTAGTTTGCTACAACGACTATCCCAAGGACTGGGTAACTTAAACCTCACACATTCATTTCTCACAGTTCTGAAGACTGAAATCCCAAGATCCAGGTACCAGCTGGTTCAGTTCCTGATGAGGACCTGCTTCCTGGCTTACAGGAAGATGCCTTCTTTTTGGTCCCTCCCCCCCCCCCGCCCCCACGCTCAGCACAGCAGCTGAGCTCCGCAGTCCTCCTCTCCCTCCTCCCGGCCCCCTGTCTCCCCTCTTGCTCTGCACAGAGATCCCAGGGTGCTTGGATGGGAGCGCCGGCCGCTCGAGTCTCAACGCTCCACTGTCGTCCACCCCCCTCCACGACCCAGGACCTTTGCTGAGGCTGAGGGAAGGGTGGCTGCGGCACCTGCAGCTCCACATTGGAGCCCAGAGAGAGGGCGGTTAGAGGCAGCCGCACTGCGGCCCGGCAACTGAGCTGTGACTTGTGGAGTCTGAGCCCAGGGTCCGGAGGCACCCCTCCTCCCCTGGGGTTCCCAAGCCTCGGGGGTTGTAGTTTCGTGGAGCCGAGCTCACCACCTGGGTGCTTAATATCAATGGACCTCACGCCTGCCTCTCTTTCCCACCCAGCTCTATCCAGACGCTTAAGAAGAGGCTTATTAAACTACCCAAGCTTCTTGTGTCAGGGGCCACAAAGGAGTCTCACAGGAGGAGCAGAAGGTCCCTAACTCTGTGGCGTGGGCTGGAGGGGCAGGTGAAGGGGAGATTTCCCTAGTCGCTCTGTCCCGCCCCTGATTCCCCCTTTAATTCTAATTTATCCTGGGACAATGTGCCCGACGTTGTGTAGGGGGTAAAATCCCCGAAGGCGAAGGCGGGGACTTTGCCTGCCTTCACTCCTTTTCCTCCTGGCCAGCTGCTGCTACGGGTTCCTCTCCCTTGATTCTGCATCTCTCCAGCCCTGAAGTCCTTCCGTCTCTCCTGTGATTGGCCCCTTGGTAGCTCCCTGTGACCCTAGAACCGGGCAAATTTGGCATGCCCAAAGCCCGGGAAGGCAGGACACTGTACTTCACTCCTCAAAAAGATAGGATCCCTGATTTCAAAGAGTGACCCGGGATGGAGGGCAGGCCTAGTGGAGGAAACCCTGGATACAGGGGGCCCTGTGCAGTGCGGAGATAACCTTGAAGACACTCAAGGCTCATGCAGCTGAGAGGTAGGAGAAAGAAGAGTTGATGGATTCAGGGAGAGGAAGAAGGGAACTGACTCAGAAGTGGAGATCTAGGAGAAGGAGGGGAGGCAAAGAAATGGAGTGGCCACAGGAAGAGCTTTCCTGACACTTGATTCCACTGGGTAGTGCTCTCACACTCTCTCAGAGCTCTTTATGTACCTCCTATACCTCTGCAACAACAAATCTGCAAAATGCATCCCCAGTGCTTAGTGCTTATCCATAAGATACTGGATTAAGTGTTTTCTGAACAGTCGGAAGAACATTCAAAAGTGAAGCAAAGGGGATGGAAGAAAGAAGAGACACACAAGGAGGTAGCAGCAGGGATAGTATATATAAGCCAAGTATCCAGGAGATGCCCACTGTGCTCCATCATTGTTCTGGAGACCCGAGAGTGGCCTAAAGAGAAGAGCTTGGCACTATCAGGGACTAGTACAGGGAAGTTCTGTGAGACAGATGGCACAGGCCCACAGATGGTGGTGACAAGGAAAAGGGGCAGATGGAGTATCAGAGACCCTCTGGAGCACAGAGGTAGGGCCTGGGGGATGGGGCTTGGCCCTAGATTGGGATGCCTGTGATACCAGGGAGCAGAGCGAAATTTGAGGAACTGCTGTAAGGCTTGCGCCCCAACCAGATGGGGGTGGGAAGTCAGAGGTGACTGGCTGCTTCCAAGCTGGGCAACTATTAGGGAGAGGAGTCTTCCCTGGCAAAAGCTGGTGTGTAAGTAAATGGGAAAGGATTGCAGGCCACTAGTTCTGATCTGGGCCTGGGGTTTGGTTGGGGGTGGGAGGAGAGCTACTACTGGGAGGGCAGAGCTGGAAGTGGCCACTGAGCTGTGGCACTTCCTTGGTATTCTGCCTGCCCTGCCTCCCAACAGTGCTGCACACTGTGCCCTGAGCTCCTTTGCACTCCCAGCCTACTGAAGCCTGGTACTTTCCCTCCTAGAACTGGAGACACCAAAACACAGAATCCTAGGTGCCCCACTCAATCCACGTGTCGCTAGAGATGATCAGAACCTTGCCAAAGTCTGGATCTGGCAGACTGAATCCAAATGTATTTTTTTAAATTTATTTTTAGTTGTAGATGGACACAATAACTTTATTTTATTTATTTATTTTTATGTAGTGTTGAGGATTGAACCTAGTGCTTGCTAGGCAAGCACTCTACCACTGAGCCACAACCCCAGCCCCCAAATGTAATATTGAAGTCTCCTTCAAAACTGGGGGTTGGGGTTGTGGCTCAGTGGTAGAGCGCTTGCTTAGCACGTGTGAAACACTGGATTTGATTCTCAGCACTACATATAAATAAATAAATGAATAAATAAATAAAAATAAAGGTCAATCAATAACACACACACACACACACACACACACACACACTCACACATACACACACATATTTGGTTCCTCCAAGACTGGCTGTCTGCTATGCAAGGGCTTCCTGGGCCTCCCAGTTTCCATGGGGTGTGGAACAATATGTGTGTTGGTGTTGATGTGTGAGTAGGTGTACATTTGTATATGTCAGTGTATGTATTGGTGTGCTTTGTCAGTGTCAGCTGTGTCTGTGTTCATCTGTGTATCAATGTGTGTGTGTTGGCATGTGCTTATTCATATATGTGTGTATTTGTTGGTGTAGGTCTACCATGTGAGAGGGTAGGTGTGGGCATATGCAAATGTGTATGTAAATTGGTACATTTGTGTATTTCAATTGTGTCAGTGTGTATTTTTGATTTGTGCTGGTATGTATATGAAGGCTTGTGTGAACCAGGCGTCGCGGCACATGCCTGTAATTCCAGTGGCTCAGGATGTTGAGGAAAGAGGATCGCGAGTTCAAAGCCAGCCTCAGCAAGTTAGTGAGGCCCTAAGCAACTTAACAAGACCCTGTGTCTAAATAAAATGGGCCAGGGATGTTGCTCAGTGTTTAAGTACCTCTGGGTTCAATCCCTGGTGCAAAATAAATAAATAAAAGCTTGTGTGGGTTTTGGGGCTGTGGCTCAGTGGTAGAGTGCTTGCCTAGCATGTGTGA